GCTGTACAGCACAGTACTGCAGTTTTATGTTCTGCTGTACATTACAGTGCTGCATGGAAGAGTTATGCAAATAAAAGCAAAGTCAATAAGTTTGAGTTTCTTTGATCTTGGTTCTGAACTTTGTTATGTATATACTATATATAATTGCTCATTTAGTGACCAATTCATTTAACAACCTAGCTGCAGGAAGGGAACTTGTTTGTTAACTGAGGAATGTCTGTCTTGCCACATTAGCTGCCAAATGACCAGTTTCCAATTGATTGGGACCACAGCTCAGACAAACATCACAGATATTGCATCATGTATGGAATCAAAAGGTTGAATCTGTAAGATATCCCATGCCAAGCCATTCAGTCTCCCTATGGGATTATGAATATGCTTGAGTCAGGAGACTAAGGTATAGCAGACTGGCTGGAGAAGTGGGAATGACTAGTTAATTGCAAAATCCCAGGACATAGTCATAGAACAGTTCCCAAATCCTGCATGTAGATTTCTCCTGAGAACTTCAGCAAGTTCTCATAGAATGATCTAGATCTGACATCAGCTTGATGGGTGGGATATATAAGATGGTTGCCATTGGGTTTAGGGCTACTGAGTTTTGTTGTATTTTTGTTTTGAGACAAGGTCTTGCCATGCAGTTCAGGCTAGCCTGGAACTCACTACATAATGAGTCTGGTGTCAGACTCACAGCTCTCTCCCTTCAGCCTCCACAGTGCTGGAATTACGTGGGTGCACCACGGTGGGTGGCTAGCTATTGAGTTCCTCCACAGTATCCACCCTCATGCTCTCATGCTGTATATCTCATTTGCTACTTTTCCTGGGCCCAGACTCACTTTGCAGAACATGTTTCTTTCCCTACCTTCAATAAATGTGAAACTGCACTACATCTTGTGCTTGTTTCAACCAATTCTTTGTTCAGGACAGAAAGAACCAAGAAACCACCTCCAAACTCAGTAACACCTTCTCCCTGGTTAGTAAAGGAAACTTCTGGAAAATTGCATGTTGGGACAGAGATGTTCCTATACTTATACTTTGATTCTAGACCGAAATAGCTTTGTGAAATAGGACAGGTGTCCTCATGGGGGAAGAGACAGGACTCCAACCTTTGAGCTGCCTCTTTTTGCATAGTCTCTTTGCCAACAATGCATTCTGTGCCTCTCCATATTTCCCACTCCCATTATATCAAGGACTAGATGTGCTGAAATAGCAAGGGGGCCAACAATGTCTCCAAAAAATGAGAATCACACTGATCCCTATTTTACAATAGGAGACCCCACAAAATATGCGAAAGAAATCTCAAAACTAAATGCCATATCCAGTACCCAGTGGAAAATGACTAGCCCCCAGTCCATCCCAGAGTTACCAGAAAGGCTCATTTCAGTCTTTGGTTAATGGGCCTGTTTTGTGCTCCATCAGCTCTGTGTCCCCTTTGACTGTAGCTTTTCTGGAAGTGATCCAGCCCAACAGTAGAGATGCCTCTTTCCTATTATCTCCTTTCACCGTTAAAGCTTTGATCTGTAAAGTCTTACTCGTGAGTTCGTTTTTAGTGTCTGTTGTTCTTGAAAGGAGTATTTATGTGCGTCCGTCCCATATTATCTGCTACAAATTGAGAAAGATAGAGTGTATTGTAGTTTGGATTTCAGATGCTCTCAAAAGCCCCGTGGAAGGATCACGGGTCACTGTGAGATGCCCTGTAAAAGATGATGGGACCCTGGCCCTTTCATGTCTCTTTAGCTCTTGGCCAGCCTGAGGTGAGCAGCCCTCCTCTGCCAGGATGCATCATGCTACCACCAAGCATCAAGAGCCAAGAGTCTATGAACCGTATGAAACCATGAACCAAAATAATTAACCATTCCTTTTCCTAAGCTGTTTACCACATGTGTTTGGTCCTAAGGAGTGAGACTCTAACACAGGTGATTTTAGCCCAGCTGTATTACTATTAACCACCATCTATTACACTGGATACATTCCCACATCATTTTTCATTCTATATGCAAGTCAGGCTTCAGGTACCTTTAGAAAACCCCTGGCTTCTATTTCAGGAGCTTTAGTATCCAGAATCCACCTCCTTAGGACCAAGTCTCCTAATCTCAGCTCTGGTCCTGATGCTTTGTTGATACTGACTCTCAGCCCTCCACCTCACCTGACAGCACTCCATCACACCTGGCATTTCCCAAGGGCTCTGATGCTGATTCTCTGCTCAGTTGTGGCTTCTTGAATTTCATCATTGTCTCCATGCTAGCTGGGATGTGGTTTTTGAATGGTACTTTATCTTTTCACAATAAAGAGATGAGGGTAAGATAAACATTTCTTGGTACATCAGTTAGGTACCAAGCACAATATTTGCTGATTTATGTTCATTATTTTAATCTTTTCAACCAATACTGGAGTTAGATATTATTAAACGTAAAAGATATTACCCATGCCCCAATTTACTGGATTTCCAAATAAGTGCGAAGTGATTAAGGTTCTATAACCTAATAAAGACATTCAGATTTATGGATCAATTTATTCATCAGGAAGCAGTCCTGTGTGTTCAGCCACTAATGACCTTTTTGAAAATGAAGTTATAAACACATTACATTTCAGCTCCAGGGAAATGTCCCTAAGCATCCAATAGTATATGCAAATTTTGTTCTAATATGATTTTTGGACAGTAGCATTTCATGTTTGATACATTATTTTTTAGGTGAGTTCTAGGGCATAAAATTCTCAATAGAGATCAAAGTACTTGGTCATATAAAAATGTATGATACTTATGTGATATATGAATTGATTTCTCTTTCCATCCTTTACATTTCTTGAACTCTGCATTGTCACTATTAATTGAAATGGCTTAGGGCATGGATTGATACCTTTCGCCATCTCCCACTAACGTGGCAGAGAGCTGCTGGAATAAGCAAAGCAGCAGCCATGGGCAACACAAAACCTGCCCCCAACCCAGAGTATGCTTTCAAACACATACTTGTGTGTGCAAAGGCCTTTATTAACATACATTGAATAAAGCCATGCTGGCAGCCAAGATTTCCCTCTCCAAAATTATTTATTCCTTCTCTAATAACCACAAAAAATTATTCATGTTTAAAGAAACTAAGAAAAGCGAGTATTCCATGAGGACAAAACTTGAATGGCAAGATCAAGTCAGACCCTCACTGTGACAAGGAAGGAAGGTTTCTGCCTTCATTTCTCACTCTGGCATCTGTTAGTAGAGAGTTCAGCCAGAGAGATGGCTCAGTAGAATAAGCGCTTGCCTGGCAAGCACAAGGGCCTGAGTTCAATCCCTGTTCTGCCAAAAAAAACCCCAACCCCCCCAAAACAAAAACCCAACAACAACAAAAACAAAACAACAACAACAGAAAAGTAGAGAGTTCAGAGGTTGTGGGCCATGCTTGTCTTATTCTGATCCAAGGGGAATATCTTTTGCAGACCCATAGAAAGTATTACTGCAAACAGAATAATTGGGTCAATACAAGTGACAGGATAAAATCCTTTTGCAATGTGAGTGCAGAAGCTCTGACTCATTTGAGAAGAGTATTTAAGGCAGTGTTAATGTAGGAAAAGAGCTTTGAAAAACTATTTTATTCAATGGAAATTTTGACTCTATGACTTAAAGATCAAACAGTACCAGGAGTGGGGGGAACTCCTGACAAGAGCTTGCTATAGTTACATGCAATAAATCCAACACTTTTCTTGGTGCTTTTCCTGAAATGCCACACTGTTTGTATCTAAGTCTTGTCTAAGTCATATTAAATGGCATCATTAGGCCATTTATAAGTATTATGATTTGAAACCAGAAATTTGAGTGAACCTTTTAACTAGTAGTTCCTGATTTGGAGACACTTAGTGGAGGGTCCAGTTTTGCTTTTAGCCATTCTTTTGCCCTTCATTTCTGCATGAATCCAGTATCTGGAATTGATAATTAGGATGAAAGGCTAAGGACTGACAATTGGAGAAAGATAGCCAGCCGCTGATAACCAGTCCCCTTTGTGAAGGCTCACTGCTTGCACTCCTCCATCTTTTTAATAGGTCTATTATTTTCCTTCAAATAAAGTGTTTGCCAAGAGCTTAAGACAGCCTCAGTGTTGGTTGTGCCAGCTGTTTTGAAGTATATTAACTTAATCTGCATTTAAGTATTTTTTAAAAAGCCATAAGGATATAATTAAACCTTTCTTCAACTGTTTACAGTATTTAGTTAGAACCTATATACAAATTTCTCCAATAAAGACTCTTCCATTTTTAAAGTTTTATTAGCTAGCTACTAGACTCCACTACTGATGATTCACCCATGTTGGTAAAATTTTTCAGAATTTAAATTTACCTACAATAATTAAAAGCATTAATAATTTGGTATTTTTTAATATCAATGTCTGCAATGTCTAGGTATGAACATATGTAAGGAGGTCAGGCCAACATCCTGGCTGGGTAACTTTCTGTGTGACTGATCCAGTGCTTCTGAGCATCAAGTTTCTTCCCTAGGGTCCATGGAGTAGATCTAGCTTAGCTGTGAATGCTCTGACATTCAGAACAAACATCTCCTGTGTGAGGGTGCATGTGGATTTTCACCTAACTTTTTACCAAAAATTATTGGATAAGTGAAGCATACTATGCCCTGTTCTCAGATTGCCTAGATTTGTATGCCAGTGAAATCAAAACATGCTACTCCAAATATGGCATGCTCCAACATTTTATGCTGAAAGGATTTGAGAAATGGCAGGTATTAGAGATTCTGACTTTCTCCAGATGCAGGGCTAAGATCCTTCTATACTAGTCCTAACCTGTGGCCACATGACTCTGCACTCTGTTGAATCTGGTATTAATCACTCAGGTGCAGTCATTTGGTTTAGATCCCCTTTCCTTATGAAATCTTTCACCAAGGAAAATTTCTGATAGGTAAATTATTAAGCTTTTCTTTTGTTGTTGTTTGTTTTGATGTAGTGCTAGGGATCAAACTTGGGGCTCCACATATGCAAGGCAAATACTCTGCTACTGAGCGATGTCCTGGACCTGTTCATCTGTCCTTTCTAACAGAGTTCCAGTTGTGAAACTAGGCAGGTAGAGGAAAATATATTCTTTTCTCTTATGATAACTCACTACTTGGCTATGTGGTTTCAAACAAGTTAATCAACCTTTCTCTTCTTTTTCTCAAAATTGCAGAAGTGAATGGGAGGTGAAGATAAAAATGCGAGAATTTTATGGGCACGTAAAGTCCATAATACGGCAAGAGGTGTTTAGTAAGGATTCATTAAATGCCACTAAATAACATCTTTTTCTCACAGGAAATTGTAACCACCAGAAAGCTAAGCAACATTGACCTTAAGTATTTTTTACAATTGTATTTAAAGAAAAAATCAGTTACTGAACAATGACATCACACCCACGCCTAATTCTAACAAAATATTCAGATATACATATTCATTAGAAGGCAGAAAGACCTCCCTGTAGAACCAAAAATGGGGATGGCCACATTTTTATTGTTCTTCAACAAATGGTGGAAGATCTACATGACCCCAGGTTGGCTCCCAAGTGAAACACTTTCTGTGTGCTGGTCCTGGCTGCTGTACCATCCAAGTTCCTCTTGAAACACTGACATAAATTTCAGGGTGACAGTCTACTTTGCAACTCTATGACTGTGGCCGAGTTCTCATTTTCTTCTACATTTACTGCGGAAGACAAAGTTACAAAAGCAAGGATATTCTGCATCTTTTAATGAAAGATAAAACAACAATATAAACATACACAAATTTACAGAGAGGGGATCAACTTTAATACATTTGGAGTAAAAGGTGTTTCTTATTTAAATATGGTATAAAAATAAATGCAAGAAACATTAACCGAGAATATCCAGACACAAGACAAAGACATGAGCTTGCTTTGGACTGTGAACACACCAGTGAAGTGAAACTTTCTGTGCTAATTTATTGTTTAATAAATGTGAAGCCATATGTATACATATTGATATATGCTTTTTTTCTTTTACAATTCTTCCAGTTTGTGATTGATTATCAGTGAACAGTGTGTCTAGCAGAAGCTTGAAGAGAGAGGGGAAAAAAAAGGTTTTACTTCACTTGAACTTGTTAAAAAGGAAAAGACAACAGATCCAGCTTAGTAGAAGAAAGGAAGAGGAAGAAAGCAGACAACGGGTTGAAATGGAGGCATTGAGACGGCAGAGAGTCCCTTGGAGATGGTGATGCCTTAATGTATACACAAAAAAGAACAAGTCAGGTCCTCCGTTCATGCAACATCTTGGTCTAACGTCCTCTGCTCCAGTTTACATCAAAGAGCTACAGAGCATATGCCGCGATGCCAGTCTGCTTCCATGCTGCAAGGCGATCCTTTAGTAGGACTGAACAAGGCTTGTTAACCTCTTAGATGTGAGAGTTTTCCCCTGAGAAAAAATATAAAACAAACAACAACAAAGAGAAAGTATGATCACTGCAAACTTGCTTGCTAGCACCATCTATTTCTTGCAGATGATTTTTTTGTGTAAAGATCAAAACTGAATCTCCCCTCTCTTTTTGGTAGTTTTAAGGATTGACATGCTAAGCACATACTCTATCACAGAGCTATGTCCCCAGCCCCCAAAATGGAACCCTTTAAGCACTTCATAATTACAAAGCTTATGACAAATCTTTCTCCCCCCGCCCCCCCGCTTCCCCTGACATACCAAACAGAATGACCCTCCTTCCCTCCCCCAGTCACAGCCAAACAGACTGATGGGTTCACAGCACAGATCAGCAAATCATGACACATGTCCCTAAATGCTCCTTCCAGGCTTAGCAATGAGGTAACACTAGGTTCCCAATTAGTTATAAACACGTCACAGTTAAGTCTTAATAAGGTACTCTGAAAGATAACAATGTGAATGCATTCTGTGAAATAAGTGTCTCGCTGATAAACACTAAAAAATGTAAGAGGGTATAATTTAATTGAATGTGCATTTTGAGGGTGTAATTGGTGGAAACTTGATTCTATCGCCTATGCTGTGTCATTAATGGAAGAAAGGATTCCAATTATACATCTGGAGATAAAGGTCTAATTACTCCCTGCTTCACACTGTCAATATCTCTTTTCTTTCCTATCCTTTCTTCAAGCTCAGCTGCAGAAAAATCTGATATGATTCCACATATTATGTTAATACAGAGTACATATTTTTTGATCCTGAAAATCAAGTTCTTGTGAATTACAAATACTCCAAGGAAGAAGTTTGACATTTTAAAAATCTGAATGCAGATTGTTGACTAGTTGTTTCTGTTTCATCTTTCATTTTATATGCTCTAATATAGCATAGAATTAAACTTTTTTCTTTTCAGACGCTAAAATAGTAAGGGAAAAATCAGTACTTTTTGAGAAATATAGTATTTTGGAAATAAATTATATCATGGTAATAATGGTCTTGATTTTTTCCTACTTAATGTGGCTCAGAGTTTGATGAAGGGGTTGGTCATACTGACACATAAATCATGACCCATGGCCACTGTCTTAGTCTGTTTGAGTCAATGTAACAAACATCATAAATTGAGTGACTTATAAACAATCAAACTTTACTTTTCACAGCTCTAGTGGAGGGACCCCAGGAGCAAGGTGCTTGTGCACTGGCTCCAGTGAACTGCTCTCCTGGTGCCTAAATGGTGCATTCTCATTGGGCTCTCACATGGGGAAGGGAAAACCATGGAGCATTTCCTCCCAGTTGGCACACGGATTCACAACAGCCTTCAGCAATGGGTAGTAAGGAGGCTGAAGTTTAACAAATGTATTTTTGCCAGCCTATTCTTTTGTCACTCAAGAGGAGGACTGCCACAAGACAAGCAGTGTGCTACTGAAAGACTCTGCTTGTAAACAGCATATGTATTCCTTGCAGCTGTCATTTAGCAAAGAGGCCCAAAGTGAGCTTGTTTGACGCTTTCACCGTGTGACGTCACAGTGAGAACTCACCACCTATAAACTAGGAAGCAGGTCCTCTGCAGATGCCAGATCAGGTGGCGCCATGACCTTGACCTCGCCAGTCTCAGAACTGCGAACAATAAATTCCTGTTGCGTGTAAGGTGCTCAGTCTGTGGTGTTTTTGTTACGCCATCACGAGTGCACCAAGATATCATTTCTACTTCTGTGCCTTGTTTCCTCCTCCATAAAATAAGGGGAACATTTATTTAAAAACAGCCTGAGGACTCATAAATGACTTGCAACTATTTTTAGAACATCCCATCAACTCAATTTATGTTCGCTACTACTTTATTATGGTTATCATTACTAATATTACTTATATGACCTCTGAGGACACCCAGATCACTGATTTTACTGAGAAAGGGAGAAAACTGCCAATGAACTGAAAGCTAAAGTTATACTACTTTTTCATCCCTAAACTGGGCACTATATTAATCAAATAATGTTGGGGTGATACAGCACTTCTCCACACTGGAAGAGTACACTGTTTCCTAAATATACTACCTTAGTTTCTGTGTTATCAATACAGCTGAGTACATGTATCCAAGTTTATTCTGAATAAATTATACTTACAATACGTTATATTCTGGAATAATTTATATTTAGAAAGGGTTTACTCTAATGTCATTTGTGGGAAAAAAGAAAGTACATATCAGTTAAGACAAAAGAGGGAATTCTTATGTAGTAAATATTAGAAAAAAGATACTATTATAAAAGCTTTTCTTTTAAAGTGCAAATCATTATGGTTTCAAAATTTTGGGAAAAAATGATTACATTGACATAGGAAGTCATTTGAAAGTAATTTTTTATTTGAACTATGGAATCTATAATGTCATCTTCATGAGTTTAATAACAAGAATCAGAGCTCTCATTCCACATTTTAAAAAAATATGTTACAAAAAGTGCTAGTACCGAGCGTGGCATGCACTTCATTAAAAATGGGCTGTGATACATGCGTTATTTGTCCATCGCTTGTCCCAGAAAATAATGTAGAAGCATTCTTTCACAGAAGTCCCAAGAGAATTGCAGGCCTACGGTAAGCCTTGCGGTCTGTGATAATCCAAAAATATTAAGTGAATGGCAGAAGATCTGGGTGATTGGCTCTATCTGCAAACCATATCTGGTTCACTTAACAGGAAAGGAAAGACACAGAGGCCCTAGAGTACGAAGAAACTACTGTCTACACACCAACCATTTTGAAAGCACTGAATTTAAAAGAACTGCGCCTTTCTTCCTGGGGAGTCTCTGTTGACCCAACCTTGCGTGTCAGCGTCGGCCACAGTGACCTGTAGGCACTTCTTCAGAAGGCAGAGGAAGTCTGCCCTGGCCAATCAGCTTTGCATAATTTTTCCACACTGAATAACCTGAGAAATGTTTACAACTAAGTTTTAAAAGTCCTAATTCTAGCAACAAAAAGACTGAAAAAACCCTCTCTCTTCACCAATAGCATTTTTAAACCAAATTGGTCATATGCTTCAATAATTCTGTGTGAATAATATCTGTTTTTACCACATGATACATATGTGTGAAGGATTTAAACCATTCCTGTCAGGGTCTGAAGGAAACAGATTACATAGGAAGCAGATTAAGGAAAAACAAAGACATTCTCAGGACAACCCAAAACTCAGGATGCTGTGACGTTACGCCATATCTAATGGACAATATGCTAGAAAAATAAGCTATAATCCCTTTCAGGACAAAATAAACCTGAGACTTTAAACGATACCTAAGTGAATACAGAGTATCATTCTCACCTATAATTCAGTAATCATATAAACTAAGAGTTTTCTGGAGTCCCAGGTTCATTTCACCCTCACTACACCAATTCCTTTCAATCTTAAGCACTTCATAGATATTTTGTTATGATCTGTAGGAAAGCCCCCAAAATCGAAAGCAAAACCTGTATGTTTATTTTGAGCTTTTCCAAATAAAGTACAAAATAAGTCTGGGTCTTAAAGTAGTAACAGAAAGAAGACAGGGAGCTCTGAGTCAGTAGAGAGAAACGTGCAGGCCAGGCTGCTGGTGACAGCCTGAGTCGCGCCCTGGGGCAGTTGGGATTGAAGCACTGTCCACTGTCTATCTCCGGGCATCCACGTCCACAAAGAATTAGAGAGGAACTACATTTGCTTATGTGACTGAAGCCACAGGTTTTATTACTGCCACAAAAATACACAGCACCCTGAACAGATTGAGCAGAAATAAAGAGGTGGATTCTTAGAAGTCGGCCATGAAAGACTGACAGAGGAGAACAGAGGGTTACCATGATCTTCTGGAGTTTGTTTTAAAATTTAATCCCTGAGCTCTTGCTATTCTCCTATAATTTCTACTTGTTTCTGTCCTATCCATACCTCCAGTCTCTCCCACATGCTGCCTAGGAGTTGCTGCTGACTCCTAAGCGTGTGCTCTAAGGCCTCCTGGGCCACAGAGGCCAGGGTGCACGACTGGGAATAAGAAAGCGTACATCTTGCTCCTGCCTTGCCTCTACTCTAGGTGACCCAGCTGTCTGGTCAGATGCTCAGCCTCACAGCCACAGAATCACGGAGGCACTGGCACGCTGCTGGGCCAGAGACAGGAGACACTCTCTAAAGGGCTGAAGAGAGAAGGCACTCTGTTCTTTCACTCTCATTAAAAATGCTGTGTTTCACTTATAAATGCCCAAGTCTTTGCCGAGAATCCAGAGCCATGCAACTTTTGCTTCTCTGGCTTTCCAAGCTGCAGCTATCCCCGTGTTCTTCGGTTGGGCTGCTGCCTTCACGCAAGCCCCTCCCTGTGTACACGCCAGTTCGGATCCTGCACTTGCACCATGTGCTTCTTACCCAGGGCCCTCTGGAGCCTCTCCTTGTCCTCTCAGGGCTGCCGGTCCCTTCTCTGGATGCTTCTTGCCCATGAGTGTGCACTAGAGCCTCCAGATGATGTCTTGTATAATTCTGTCAGCTGCCTGGCTTGGGGAAGCACCTGATGGCTATTACACAGCGTTGATATCATAGATGTCACCAAGGAAGTACCTAATTGTTTGTATGAGCTGAGTTTCTTGGTTGGAAATTTTATCCTGAGAATAAATTTGTAGAAACCAGGGCAATATGATTTCAGTACTGTGGACTAAGTTACTTTTAACTTAGAGGAGAAGAGGCTCAGTGGAGTGAGGGACCAGAGTCAGGGACACTGATCATGGCCACGTCCTAACCAAGTGACTAACCGAAGCTGAGTCCTTCAACTTGGAAACCAGTAAGAAGGCATTGAGGCTGGCTATAGGTTTGGAAGGTTGTTCCATGGCTTAAGTGAAACCAGTTCTTCAAGATAAACTTACAGTGAGTTTACTGAAACACAACAAAATTGTGGAGAGTACGTATGTTCTTCGAACAGTGAAGATGAGCTCAAATTTTTGAGATTTAAGAAACAAAGCAAAAAAAAAAAAAAAAAAAAAAAGAACTCCATAAAACTGGCTATACTTGTTTTTCAATCTGGTATTTAAATCAGACAGTGAAATAAACCTTCTAGTATTAAGTACTAAAACAAGATAGTTTATGAATATGTATACATTGATATACTGACTGCTAGCTTCTCTGTGGGCTGAGAAAAAAACAAGTAAAGCAAATACTTTCATTTCTTAGTTCAAAATATTTTCTCATAAAAGTAGTATGCATTCATTAAAGAAAATTTGAAAAGAAGTATTACTTGAATTATAATTATTTACATAATAATGTGCATCTACTTTTAAATATGAAAAATGAATGTTTTTTAAGTTTTCGTTCTAATCAAAATGAGTTTATACTGCAAATAATATTATGGCTTATTATGATTTATTTCTAGATGAAATCATTATATTTTAATCAGTTACTTATACATATTCCTTCTAAGATAATACTGTCATTCTAACTCAAGGAATTCAATAGATGAGGAAATCTAGAGATATATAGCTAAGACTTAGAAGAAAATATTATAAAATAGATAAAAAATATCAGAATATACTGCACCAAACAGGGAAAAAGTCTGATTGTAAAGTGTTATTTTTACTTCTATGCACATATAAACATACATACACAGAACGTGTGTATATATATTTATATTTATACACACAAACACATATGTAAAATGTATTGGTCAAATGAGTCAATGTAGGTGATATCAGAAAAAGATGAAGGCCACTGCTCTAAAATCCAATTTTTAATATTTGCATAGCATTCTATCAGTGGAAATGCCTCGATACACTGCAGAATCTATGACTGCATGTTCAAGTGTGTTCTATATTTGCAATGAAGACAGAATGATGTGATGAATGTTTTTATACCTGTGGGAACATCTGGGTTTTCTTAGTGTTAATTAAATAGAATTTGTGTTATTTATTTAGTGAGGGATTTTTGAGGCATTTGGCACATTCTGTCAAATTAATTCTATTCTAGAAAAGTGACAGCAATTTTATATACTACTAGGAACAGTGTATGGAATTCCTTATTTTCTTATCCCTTCTGTAATGCTAGATATTATTTTTTAAAAACGAACTTTTTGGAGGAACACATTGTATTGCTTTCTTACTTTCACTTAGCTATTAATAACAACAGCTTTTTTGTTTTCTTATATATTAATAGGCTATTTACATTTTTTGTTTAAATTGCCTAAATCTTTTGCTAAGTTTTCAGTGCCATGTTGTTCTTCTGAGTATTTATTTGTGAAGTACTTCTTGTATAAAGTGTATTATATATTTATCTGTCATGGACATGCGCATTTACAGTTTTTAAAAAGGGTTTTACCAGCTTTGAGGACAGGAGCTTGCTTTAAACAAAGGCTCTTGGGCTAAGTAAGGCATGCAGCAGTCTTTCATGGGATCTCTGTGGATGAGACAGAGAGAGATGCAGTTTGTAACTAAGTCACCAGCTGTCTTCAAGGCACACTAATTATCAGCACAGGAATCCTCCCTGTTCTTACGTCATCTGAATTCATAATGTAAATGATTAAACTAATAGAATTCTGATAAAATGCATGCATGATGCGAATCTGATTATCTGTATTAAAAGCCGGGGCAGCAGAGATATTGCAAATGTTTAAGCCAAGCTAAAAAGATAAGCTGTGAGATACAACTGTATGATAAAATTTAGTGGAAAAGAAGGGCAAAAAAATATCAAATTTATACTAAGAGCCACACAAAACAAATACAGTAAACATAAAACCTACAAATAAAAAACAACAACAAAAGAACAAGACTAGAAAAATGTAATCACAGTGCATGAGAAGAAAATTCAATGCTTTAAAAAATATGTTAAGCCCCACAGTTGCACATGGAAGCCAGGGTGAGGAAGCCAGTGCAGTTTTCGGGCCAGATTGTAGAAGTTGCAGGACGCAAGGTCAGGGAAGTGATACTCCTGCTCCAGGGAGCTGGGACCCAGCTCAAGCAGTCTGTGCACTTATGACAACTACTGAAGAACTAATTTCAGAGGTGGCAGCAAAGATGGTGAAGGAGCAGGAAAGTCTCAACTAAGAAAACATTGAAAGCTCATTTTTTGAACAAAAACTCACTCAAATTTAATCTGATAGTAATTTTAAGCTACTTAAAAAGTCTTTGTAAGTGTTTAGCTTAGTTTTCATACAAATATCTTTTTCTTTTATACTCAAATTTCAACAACTTATATGTATACTTCAATAAATTATATAAATGCATAAATTTGATTACAAATAGCAAAGGGGACAAATACAACTGATTAAATGCCACATGACTCAACTGAAAGTTGCATAACTGTGGGGACACAAGAGCATGGTTCAGCTGTGATATGGGATTTGTCCTTGACCCTAGTGGCAGAGAGGCAGGAACATTGGTTCTTCTAGGGAAGAGGTTTTCAAAATATGGTGTTGAAATCAGCTCTATCAGCATCACAGAATTTAAAATGAAATTTTTAGACCCCACCAGAAAATAAACTTAATTAGGCTTTCTGGTAGGCAAGGTCCAGCAATCTCTGAAGAAATCTTCCATGGGCAGCTGATGTACCAACGATAACAAGTGCTGATGTTTGGTATAGAGCCGTCAGGTGAGAAGACTTCGGGCTAGGTCATGGTGATTACACTGTATTGTTCCTGAAATGATTGTGACCATTGTGGGGAGGAGAACGATCTAATTCACTTTAATTGGACACAGCCTGAGTTTCCTAAGTTCTTGGTGATTTTGAGGTATGTGCAGTTGAAACATTTAGAAAAATAGTGTGCTAGGGATGTTAAGGGAGACAAAAGAAAATGTGTGTATGCGTTGACGTAAATCACACCTTCATGTAATTATTAATACATTAGTTAATATATATGAATTTCACATGGCTCCAGGAAGCAGAACTAGGATGAAAACCTGAAAGTTATAGAAAAATAGACAATTCTGAAATTAGGGGAAGAATTGCTTAAAAACGGAATAGATCGCCTCTGCTATCTTAGTGTACTGAATCTCGAGAAGTCAGAGGGTACTGCATCTTTAGAAGTGAGGAGCTAGAAAATGCTGGCTAATCATCCGAGCTTGAATCTACAGAAAAGGCCCATGCAATACTAGAGGTGGGGCCAGAAAAACACAAGTCTCTTAAGCTCCTTTTACATTCTAAGACTCCAAAAATTACATCCTTCTCAACATCTGAAAGTACCCTGAAGATTAAACTTTAAAATTAATTTAAAATTTTAAAATTAGAAAAGAGAAAGACTATGTAATCTTTTCTTTCTGGTATTAGCATATGCTTCTGCTAGATACAGTACTATGTATATTTCAACTGAACACTCTTATTAATAGGTGACTGCTAGTCCCCTTTTATAGTAATGTGTCATTTTAAAAAGCTGTGATGGAATAGTGAAAAGAAAAAGATCCTTAGTGAGAAAATGAAGTTTGTATGACTTGCAGAAGTGAAAAAAAAAAAAAAAAAAAAAAAAAGAAAAAGAAAAAGTTTTGTTTTTTTCTCCAGAAATAATACAGCAGTGTAGATTGTACTTCACAGGTTGAGTTAATGCTACTGCTTGTTCTGTGTTGATCTAAATCACAGATATAATTAACGCCTTTAGGATTGTTCAATGGTTGCTCCTAGTACTTGCCTGGCCACTGGAAAGCAGTGACAACAGGCATCAAAGTGTATTGCACAATGCCGAGGATGTGGACTTTGGCCTAGCTTGGGCTGGTATGTAGTCGGCCAGAGGCATATGAAGAATGCAGTATCTGTTGATATGCATACAGAACAGCCACGCTCAGAAGTGAATGCGACGCAGAGAAAGAGGGTCTTCTGTCCCGCTACCTTAAGTTGCCTATGTCAGCGTTACTGCCTGACAGCATCAGCATGGATTAGGGAACATTAAAAAAATAAGGCTTCTATAGCTTTTCCTCAATATAAGACTAGCTTTCTTTTCTGAAAATATTGTTGCGGAGAAGAATGTTGAACATAGATGATGCTACTTGTGGCTTTAGAGTAAGTAAGAAAATGTGAGAAACTGGTACGGTGGTGATGTGACACACCTGCCTACCAAGTGGCCTCACAGCCAGAAGTCTGATATGGCTCCATTACTAATGGGAATTAAACGCGGTCCATAAGAAGTCCAATGTCTCTCTAGTTAAGTTCTATAGATGTTTTCCTGGCTATATGCAACAACTTTATTACAAAGAATATGCAGATGTTTTGCTCTTAGTCCACTGATGGACTTGTTTAACCTTAGTTTCGTACACTACAGTTTAAGTCACTGAGGTAACGGAGGTTGAACTGCTATCTTTGAAGTTCTTCACCAAACACTGTAATACAAAGTATGTAGGTGCAAATAAATATTCCAATGTCTTTTTGCTTGCTGCTGTTTTGTATATTAGTATGATATTCAGATTATATTTGAATAATTCAAGTATCTTCAACAAAATCAAAGTGATAATGCAAAATAATGTGTTAACAGTTGTATAATATAACTTGTGATTTCTAAGTGAGAATTTGAGGTTTATTTTTCTGTTGTCTTCCAGTAAACTTGAATTAAAAATGTTTTATTACTATTATTGGTGCTCCAAGTATTCTTCCTTCTTTACTTCTACTTCACTATTCAAATTTTCGGTGTAATCTAATGTGCATTTCACCAGAGGAGCTGATGCACCTGCCAAGTCCTCCCCCTATCTCTAGCCACCTTCTCTTTCTTTCCACTGCCACCTACTGCAGAGCCCAAGGAAGCCCAGGTGCAAATCCAGGACATGGAGATCTTGCTTAACTTTCTGGGCAGGCAACCTTCACAGTGGTCCTCACCTAAATTTGTCCAGTCGTTGGACCCTCTTTCCGGCTTTGCTTTAGTACCTTCCCCTGCAAAATCAGTGTCCCCCAGCCTGTTAGCGAGCAGGTCTCTTGGGAAGGCCTCAAAGTTTGCTTACTCCCCCTCCTGTGTTTCCTTAAGAAAAACTGTCATGCTTCATTAAGGAAGCTGGTGGGAAGTGAGTTCTTTTCACTGGGCAGTTAGTTAGGTTTCACGAGAAGAGAGAACCAAGTCAGAGAGAACCAAGCACATGCTACAAGCCTCCCCAAATAGTAATTTTGGTTCATATCTATCCCTTTTACAAAATTTAAGATCCCTAAGAGTAGGGGTTGTGTCTTATTTTCTATATATTTTCACATACAGAACAAAGTGCCCTGGCACACAGTGGGTACTTAACAATTTTTTTAAATAAAAAATTTTAGCCCATTTAATTTATTTACTTATTTATCTGGTCCAGGGTCTCACTACATGGTTTGGGCTCATAGTGATCTAACTCAGGCCCCCCAGTGCTGGGATTACAGGTGTGCACCACTATACTCAGTTTCAGTGATCAGCACAGTGCACCTGGGGTTCTGGGGCCGGCATGACATGTGGTACTGGGGATTGAACCTGAGTCCTTGCGCTTGTCACATAGGCGGTTAGACCACTGAGATATCGCCCCAGCCTCAATAACTATTTTTTCTTAATAATTTATCGTTCTCTCGGGCTTTCACAGAGAGCAAACTGGTCAAGCAATGGCCGTGACTCATTCACATGGCTGACAGGGACAAAGGATCTACAAAGTGTGGTATAAGGTTTCAGGATAAATCCTGAGGGGACTTGACTGACCTTATCAGACACAAAAGTTACATTCCTTGTTATATAGGTCCTGCTTTATCTTGGTCTTAACCATCCAGCAGAAAGGTATAAAAATGAGGTATAAGGGGCAAAGCCATGTTGGTATGCCGGGCTGTAAAGGGCTCAGGTCAACAACTTCTGACATTGCCAGTCCTACAGATGACTCACTACTATTATGGACTACTGGACTATATTGGAATATTTGGCTCAATAACTATTTTTATTGGATGAAAGAGTCTGGTAGTATCTCCACACATGGTACTATTAGACTATAAAGCTGTCACAGGGTCTCCAGGGTTGTCTCTTGCTGAGGACTCGGCTGTTACACAAGCCTAGGGCTTCATGATGCTTAGAACAGCATTTTGAAAAATGTTCTTAACTTCTGCCTCTAGCATTTGTAACAGCAAAGGGACCATCCATGCTGGGGCCCCTCTGCTCAGAAGTCACCTCAGCATTCCTGAGGAACCCAAAGGGGTTACTGGGCACTGTATGACCAACAACTACCACACAATTCACAGCTTCTAGCTTACAGGAGAGTGGTGATTTAAGAGGTAATGATACCACCAGAAGAAAATAAAGACACACTATCCAGAGTAAATTGGGCTACATGGTCTGATACGTTTCACATCAATCAATTTACACCAAGCTTCAGGGAAACTAAAATTGTTTTCTCAGGCCAGTTATCACCACAACCAGTTGCAAAAAATAAGATGAATACCACCTCTGCCAATAGCACAATGATAAATGAGATGGGTTTCAAGCC